GTGTTTTTATTCTCTCCATTCCTGTCTCTGAAATCAATAAAAAATATATATATTTTTTAAAAAGCATCAGACAGCTTTCTTCCCCCGAGCTGCTGAGTAAGGTGCGCGGTCCTATGAGGAAGCTAAGGCCGCTTTGGGGTAAGGCCCTCACTTCATCCAGCAACTAGCACCATTCGCCCACCATTTGCCCAGCACTCGCCCATACCATGGCCTCCACCTCGGAGCTCACCTGCATCTACTCGGCCCTTATCCTGCACAACAGTGAAGTGACAGTGATGGAGAATGAGATCAATGCCCCTTTTAAAGCAGCTGGTGTAAATGCTGAACCTTTCTGGCCAGGCTTGTTTGCAAAGACTCTGGCCAATGTCAATATTGAGATGCTCATCTGCAATGTAGGGGCTGGTGGACCTGCCCCAGCAGCTGGCGCTGCACCAGGAGGTCCTGCCTCCTCCACTACTGCTGCCAGAGCTGAAGAGAAGAAAGTGGAAGCAAAGAAAGAAGAATCTGAGGAGTCTGATGATGACTTGGGCTTTGGTCTTTTTTGCACAACAGTGAAGTGACAGTGATGGAGAATGAGATCAATGCCCCTTTTAAAGCAGCTGGTGTAAATGCTGAACCTTTCTGGCCAGGCTTGTTTGCAAAGACTCTGGCCAATGTCAATATTGAGATGCTCATCTGCAATGTAGGGGCTGGTGGACCTGCCCCAGCAGCTGGCGCTGCACCAGGAGGTCCTGCCTCCTCCACTACTGCTGCCAGAGCTGAAGAGAAGAAAGTGGAAGCAAAGAAAGAAGAATCTGAGGAGTCTGATGATGACTTGGGCTTTGGTCTTTTTTGTGACAGTCTGCCAACATCTGCTAAATCTCTTGTAACAGTCAATAAAAAGCTGAACTCTTAAAAAAAAAAAAAAAAAAGCAGCCCTAGCTGGTTTGGCTCAGTGGATAGAGTGTTGCCTGAGGACTGAAGGGTCTTGGGTTTGATTCCGGTCAGGGGCACATGCCCAGGTTGTGGGCTCAAT